TTTAGAGTCCCTTTCGCTGAATGACGGGGTTCCCTTGCTCTGGTGGTGCGTCCCAAATCCTTGGACGGCAGACCCGACAGAACAGCTCAGATTCTTGGAAGGGGATCCTCATTGTTATCAGGCCCTGCTGGTTTTGTCTTGGAATAGGTACTAGCAGCAGTATCGACCCTGGGGACTGATTTCGACCGGGCAAAAAAGCTTTTTGGGAAATGTGACATTCGTACCCAATGCCACCCTGGCTGAATCTTCCCTCGGATGCGGCACTGCCACTGGCAATAACACGAACTCTTTATCTTTTCCCCCTCCTTGCACCTTATACCCTACTTGTAAATGGCAACGCTGCTACATCAGCTGAATCCTTCTCCCTCCCTTGCCCATCTACCTAGAACTCGGGTGCTATCACTACTAGTGCTGAATGAGTGGTATTACTATCCTACATGTGCTGCAGCTCTTTATTGGGATTGATGTGCACGGCAGCCTTTTGCTGCTGGCCTTGCACACCCTCGCCCTCTTTCGTCATTTATGGGGGGGCGTTGCATTGATTCCCGCCCCCCGGCTCACATAACCGGCACTCGGCCGTCCCGCTGGCACTTATACATGCAAGCACTAGATAGATATTACGGCCGGCCAGATACAGTACAGCTACCACTGTTACTGCTCGTACTTTTACACTATATCGGGCTCTGTCCAGGTAGGTAGTATTGATGCCTACATGAATATGCTACGTGGCAAGAAACGGTAACAATTCCTTATCGGCACTCTCCCGCTGTCGAGGCTGAAGGCTGATTAATGGGCATGGATGAGCGAGCGGCCTGCATAAAGCAAGTCAAGCATACCCTACCCATTAATCTAAAGCTCACCAACTGTTCCATGCACCTGCAAAGCATGCACATGCTCTCTACAATGGAATTCCGAGTACAATATCATACCGGTATGGCGGTGGCAAAGGAAGAAGAGGACATATTGCTCACTCACTTGTCGAATTTGTTCCCATCAATGCCTCCCATCTGTATCCCCTTTCCTGTTCCGCGCAAGATTGACTCTAGCGGGAGTGTGAAGGAGGAAACGCACAAAATAAAGGCCACACAGCCTGAACGGATAACTTGACTCGAGACAAGTTACGAAGACCAAAAGACAGATCAGACAGGCAAACCCAGTGCGATACTCGCTCCCATCAACGAGATCCAGAGGCGCAATGGAGCTACTAGACATTGTATCTGGTAGGAGTGGCACTGAAATGTTTTAGAGCGTTTTAGGACCCCCAGCAGCCTCTGCGAATATGCTCCATACCTACCCACCTTACCTTATATCCCTCTTATACCTTGTACGGTGCTATTTGCGCCAGCCACTCACTCGCGCTGACAGAAGATCTGCTACCTAGGTAGAGAACCGCGATTCGAAACGACACGATACGACGCGGCACAATTAATACTCGCATTAACGGGCTCTTGGCCTGATCTCCATACACACCCCGCACTATTTTATATCATACGCACCAGAAGCCGCCATCCCTTGCCTTTGCCCTGCAGCAACTGTGTCTCTCTCCCTCTCCATAAGGACTAGCCTGCCACAAGACCGGGCTCTCTTTTTGGGTCCTGGGTAGGGAGTAGTACCTAGTAGTGGTGTTTCCTCCCCTCTACCTGGTAGCTTGGCGGCCTTGATCAAAAAGCCAGATGATGGCTTGAATTCTTTGCTTTTCCCCCTTCGCTCCTCTGGCCTCTTGCGTGCTGCAAGACAAAATTGTTTCAGAGCATTACCACTCGCCTGACTTTTTTGTTATTTTATCCTGCAATTTTTATCCTGTTTGCTTTTTTTTCTATTTTCTTTTCTTGAATCCTCTTTTTGTTTCAATCTCCCCATTTTTGCTTCCTCTCTCTCTCTGCCCCCCCCCGCCTTAATCTTTCTTCTCTAATTTTCTTTCCTATTTGCTAGTATTTTCCTTGCTATTTTTAAACCTGGTTACCTATATAACTGCTACTGCTACCACCACTTTGCTACTGTTCGTAGCCGCCTAATACCTGAGACTGTAGGTAGCCGCTTCCCTCTGTGCCCTCTTTGCCCTCTTTGCCCTCTTTGCGGCCTTCGCCTGCCCGTATACAAAAGCGAAGCGCAGCCCGTGCTCCTTTCCTGCCAAACTTGATTAGCCAAGTCTCTCTCCTTTCCTCCCTCCCTATAGGCATTCTCTGCCTCTTCCTTTATTCTTGCAAACCCCCCTCGATCCTCGAACCTTGCATCTTATTCGTCTTTCAATCAGCACTCCGACTAACAGGCTTCTGACGTAGCCACAGCATCCTTCCCACCAATACTGGCCAGCCCATTCACCTATCCTCAATCGTCTGCATCTACCTCCAACCAATTGCAGCCTACTCAGGCAAGGCGCTATCCTACTTCTAGCTGCTCTCCCCGATTCCCAGAGCATTCTCTGTTTGACATCAGTACAACACCTGCCTACCGACCTTGTAGTGGCATCTTTGTCCTACTCCTCTTTCCATTATCCATTACCTTACACTGTCCTCGCCTCGCCTCGAATATACGAGAGGTTGAATAACTGAAAAGAGAACAACAACGGGCCGCGGTTGAGAGAACGAGATCGAGTGAGAGTGCTGCTGTTAATCTCACACACATACGGGGTACTGCACTGTTTCTACTGTTTTCCCTTTTCGCTTAAGGGAAAAAAAAAAAGACCCCCCGCCCTGCAAAGCCGTTTTAGTGCTGCTACTTGACATTCCCAGCCTAGCAGCCACATCAGTCGACGGCCGAGATCCTCGCAATCCCCGTCATTTTATGGTTCCGCTCTGTCTGCCAGTACTTTTGCAATATAACCGCCATTCACCGCCCCCACGACGGTGCAATTTTTCCGGCCGTCCTCGACAGTGACATTATCTGGCTGATTACTCATTGCAAAACGACCACCGTCCTTGTTTGAATTTTTATTTTCTCCCTTTGCTGCCATTGCCTTTGGTTTGTCTCCCTGTCGCATGCCCGCTGTGTCCTCAGCCGACTCACCTGCGCTTAGTGGTTCGATTGGTCGGCTTTTTATACCCCGGAACTTGCAGCATCTGCAGCTACGCGAGGCGAACGGTCCCGAAATTTGTCTCATCAGCAGCGTTGTGTTTCACAGAGTACAATCGCGGACCGTCCCTCGAGGCTTTATACAGCCTGCGCGCAGTATCAAAAGAGGCTTTGGTGAAAAGTCGTAAACAGTCCCCGGCTGTTACACGACAGCCTTCAGTATCCCCTATTATAGGCCCCATAATTTTCTTTGGCCTCATTGCGCCATAAATCTCAGCAGCCATGCCGCCCCGAAGCCCCTTCTCATCGACAAGGTAATGACATAACCTTACTGGCACTCTTTCGACACGTCTTGATCATTTCTTGTCGTTGGCTAACAGCTTCGTTTCTCTCTCTTTCAGCCGTGAGCTCCACGTAGTTGTTCTTGGTGCAGGTATGCCGTGGCCCAGATTCCGAACCAATTTCAAGTATCACGCTGCTAACAATATTCTTCTTCAGGTGGCGTCGGCAAAAGTTGCCTCACTGGTGAGTCGTCCGTTTGATTGATACGCTGCATGCGATTCGCATCATCAGCCTTGGGCCTCCGCGACTAACGCTTGGCCAGCCCAGTTTGTCCATAATGAGTGGATCGAGAGCTATGATCCTACTATCGAGGACTCCTATCGCACTCAAGTTCAAGTCGATGTAAGTTCTACAAAGATGATGACTCGTGTCTGTCCGAGTACCGTTTTCCAGTGTATCTGACATCACTTTTTCCCCAGGGTCGACAAGTAATCCTAGAAATGTGAGTTTCCCTTAGCTGTGTGCGCATCTCGACCGCGCTGGACGTATACTGATGTTGAGACAATAGCCTTGATACCGCTGGCACCGAGCAGTTTGGTATGAAATCTCTGCCTTCTTCTCCCACAGCTTTGCCAACTAACTCGAGAGTAGTGGCCATGAGAGACTTGTATATGAAGACTGGCCAAGGTTTCCTGCTTGTTTTCAGCATCACGTCTCCCTCGTCGTTAAGCGAGTTGGAGAGCTTGCGGGAGGAGATTATTCGCATCAAGGATGAAGAAAATGTCCCCATGGTGATTGTCGGCAACAAGGCTGATTTGGAAGAAGGCCGAGTCATTCCTCGCGCCAAGGGCTTCGCCGTCTCTCAGAAATGGGGAGCTCCGTATTATGAGGCCAGTGCCAGAACACGAAGTAAGTTTTATTTCTGCCTTCTCTGCAGGCCATCCATCTGTCGTTCTAGACTCGTTGTCCCTTTCCTCGAAGCCGTCTCTATCAAGCACGTGTGACTAACCATAGATTAGCCAATGTTGATGAAGTGTTTATTGATCTGTGCCGCCAAATGCTCCGCAAAGACGATGAGACGGCAGAGCCAGACGAGGGCTCGAAGATTGATGCGCTCAAGAGCGCCAACAACAAACGCAGGCGGCGCTCCAAGTTCCGTGATAGCACTCATCCGCGATGTGTGATATTGTAATTTGTTTCTTTTCATTACCAAGAACCAAATATACCGGTATCGGGCTTGAGAGAAAACATGGAGACTTGTCAAGGATTACCAGCAAGAAGCAGAGGAGCCATTGTAGCGGATGAACTACAAATATGATATACCCAAATGATTTGATGATGTTTGCTGTTTGAGCAAAGCGGGGAGAAAAAAGTTTTGGCATGATAGAGCGCCAGGTTCTCGAAGGTACTGCCTCGAATCCCGCAATCGCTGGCCTTGAGAACTTGACGGCAAGAGATTTGAAACCCAAGCTCGATTGGGATCGGAAAACTGCATATCGCTTTTGTATCATTTTGCGGCGGAATGCTGCAAGCCCACCGTCATCCTTAAAGTAATTTGACGTTGGAAGCAAAACAAGTCTTGTTGCTTGAACTTTGTTCTACATCTCCAAAGTACTAAAAGTGGAAGAATGGACTGGAAACTCCGCAGAAGGGCGGACGACATGGTAAAAAGCTTCGGCGGCATTGATGGATATGGGCGAGCCAGACTCGGGGCGGAAGTTGACACCTTAGAAGCATACATACTCACGTGAGCACGCCATCAGGAAACGGTCGATGGGTAGAATAGTTGATTTACCTTTGGGTGTTGTAGCACTTTCATATATATTCAATTTTTTTTTTTTTACTTTCACCAGGCGTTGTGCAATAGATGCATTCATTACAACCTGATTTGTTCGAGCAGAGTGAGGATGATCGTTGGGCTGGTTGACTGGTGTTAGTTGGTTGGCCGGCTAATTTTACTATCTCCATCGTCAGAGAAGGAGAGCAAAAAAGAGAAACAAAGCATGAGATTGGAGAGAGTCTGGAGAAAGACAAATGGAAAAAAAAAACAAAAAAGAAGGGTCTGGCCGGGGATTGAACCCGGGACCTCTCGCAAGCAAGCTGTAGGGTGTACCCTAAGCGAGAATCATACCACTAGACCACCAGACCGTGATGCACTTATTTGATGAAAGGATCGAGCACTATTATTGATTGTATACTTAACAGTAATAGCCACTCATTCTCAGGATACCTCGGGGGTCTTTTGAAGACATGCCGTCAATGATTTTTGTCGAAGATTACTCGAGATATGGAAAAGGCTCTTTGCTGCATCCACCGATGGCCTTACAGACCGGATCAACGTGGCCAGCTCCTGCGAGGGGCTCGAAACTGAATAGTACCTATGTCCGTGACCTTTGGGAGCAGAACAGTATTATGGTGAGTACGTAAACTAGCACCAGCTTGTCTGAGACCAAGGTTAGAAGGATCCAATCGACTTCTGGGGCATCGTAATACTTACCATGTTAGTCTCATAACTAGCACGGCAGCACTACTCAGATGACAGTATTTGAGAAGCCCGCGCCAAACCAAGCCCCATCGCGTATACCGGGCTGTTTCTGTCGACCGGCATATCCTGAGGTAAAAGTTTCGCAGGTAACCAAGCAGAAAGAAAGGTATAGGCACTGTAGAGGTTCTAGAGAATAGCAAGATGATTGAGTGACTGAAATGGCTGGCAGATTGTCTGTTACTGTAATATGATCAGCGGTGCAGAGGTGGCGAACCGAAATACATTCTGCAGAGGAGGGCAGCCAGTTGATGCTATTGCAAGATAAGTCTGGCTACCTTGAGATGAATGCAGAGGAAACATGGATATGTCTCTGTGTATTTTTCGTACATTCAATATCGCGCACTACGCAATTAATCAATGAGAAGTTATTGACAAGCGTAAGATAAAACTGGGCGCTAAAATGAAGATGGAAAATGATATCTGGTGAGACATCCATGGCACTCATTGCAACATTTTCCATAGTGTGGATGAAAGTGAACGACCCAGCATAGGCTGCGAAGGGTGGTACAGTGCATATTGTCACTTCTTGCGATAGTCACTGTAAGTGTAGTGTCATGTTATAGACCACGAATGGCGAGAGTAGATGGAGACAGAGTAGTTGAAATCGTTGATATGGAAGGAGAAGGGATATATAGCAACAGGTGAAGCGGACTTGAGGGCAAATGTCTTTAAGACCAAAATTCATGAATTAGCGACATTTTCAGACATAGAGAAAGAGTCTTCGAGACCAGCAGTGCAATTTACTCTCGATGCCAAAGGAAGGTGGCTATCGCTGCCACTAGACACCTGGCTGAGGCGGACCACTTGGTCTTGTGAGGATAATCGAACGCTATCAAGAGACAGCGCTTGTATTGGCACTCATCACACGCCCATCAAATTCTGTGCGTGGCAGATGGTCATTGCGCTGCCAGCTGTCAAAGGATTCAGACTTGCTCATTTCGTGTGCCACAACGACGGATGAGGTCTAGCAACCCCAAATCTTCATAATGGCGGTGATGAAAGGGTTGACTTCGAGTGTTGATCTTGTTTTGCTCGCAAATCTGCCATATTAGTGCTGAAACTGCAAGACAAAAAAGCACAAGGCTAGCCTCAGAAGATGGAAAAGCAGCGGTGGAACGTGATATTTGGACATTGTATCACTAGAGATGGTGAAGATAGCTTCACAAGGGAGGAGAGACGTAGAGGCGGAGAGAGCAAAAACCTGAGAGCGAGAGGAAACGGGAGAGGCAAGAGAACGTGATAGTCAGCGTCGTCTCCTCTCTGGGCTATGACGCTAGCATGAACAGACAGCAGTTGGAATGTACCAAGCAGATGCAGATTATACGCCAGATGAGATTTGGTTCGGCTTATTCTTTTCAGGAGGTGAAATAGTGATGGCAGAACTAGAACGTCAAATGTTTCAGGAGTATCTATCTGCAGTGATTGATTGAATGCAGCAGAGTACACGAGACAGATGCATGCTTCTAGGTAGAAGAGCTCGACTAATAGGATATGTGCCGGGCAGTAGTTGCTGATGCATTCGTTACCTTGCGCGGGGTGTTTGTAGTCACGCGCTGCTCTTCGAAAGCAGTGTTGCCCGCATGGCTTGCAAGTCGAATCGGATCTAGCGACCAATGTTGCGGTTGTACATGATGGCCGTGATGGATGCCTGGCTGCCATCGCACAAACTTGAGACCAAATCAAGAATGGTGGCGAGCAAATGGCTTCTGGGTGTCATGAGAACGGCCTGAGATTTGTGTGATTTGTTGGAAGACACTTGGAGCCGGAGTACCTACTGTGCATGCCGTGGACGTCTTTCTCTATTTACTCACTGGCTATTGCCAGACAGGGAGGTCAAGTGTATAGAACGCAAGGGCACTACCCATGCTAAGCAAAGCTGTGTCCTTTACTTTTTTGCCAAAGTCCAAGCTGCTCGAATAAGCCGTGAGCAGTTTCTCGTATTGATTCTGCTGGCAATAGCATTACTACTATCAATGCAGTGCCCAGAATTCGGGTGCTGACATCGCCAAACCTTTCGTACACCGTAAAAGGGGGCTCAATTTGTCGGCCACTGGCCGAGACGCAGCCTTCCCAAGTCCTAGAAAGAGCCAGCAAAGTACCCAGTCCACTACCATCCTTTTTGTGTCCATCCACCTGGGCGGTACAAGCAGCCGATACCCTTCCAGGATTGATCCTGTCATGAAGTGTGTGTGGATGCGAGGTGAAGAAATGTGATAGACATGGGCTGACACACAGTAGCGCGTCGTCTGCTCCCAGCTATGGCCAATGACATGCCTTGCAGAGAGGGCCCACGCATGGAAATGTGCTCGATGGTACGAAGTAGAGCTCTAATAAGACGTGTCAGAGGCCGCGGAAGGGTCTCAAGTTGTTCTGCGTGCAGTAGTCGACTTGACGTCGGCGTATTTCTCTCTTGTGTGGGATGGAAGATGAGATATAGAGCCCACTTTGACTTGCAAGAGATGGAAAATAGACAGCTAGGGGTGTGGAAGTGATCATCAAGATCTCGGTAGAGACTGTGGTTTTAGTCATGGGTTTCCAATTCTCGCTTGGCCGACAGCCGGGCTGCACGAGGCACAAAGAAGAAGGGGTAGAAAAAGGAATTTGTAGCAATAGTGAAAGTGGCAAGAACACAAGGCGAGGTCGTTGTGCAGATAGAAGAAGGGTTTTCAACGACAACAACAAAAACCAGCACAGGGCGCTGCCTGAGCGTGAACATGGACATGCCAAGTTGCTAAGCTTCCTAGGGGCTGAATGGGGCTGAACTGGAGGAAGCTGAGCCATCCATTCCGCCGAGGCTGAGGATCAGAGGCGCTAGAAGGCAGATGTCGAGACAAGTGCGGGTTGCCTGTTTGACATCTAACCAACGACAGGAGACTGAGAAATTCTGGATAGACAGCAAAGCTATTAGTCAGGAGTAACAGTAACAAGAGGCAGCATCGTCACGGGGGTGGCAGAGCGAGAGCAAGAGAGAGAGAAGACCCATTAAATGCACATTTTGGCGCATTGCCAGATTCAGCTGTGTAATTAATGCGTGCCGTATTCTTAGCATGGCGCGAGTGGCTGAGCAGTCAAGATGGGACACGGGTCGAAGGAAGAGAGAGTATCGTGTATTTCTGGGATATTGAGGAAAGAGAAAACAACAAACTGCAAGGAAGATTTGAATGTTGTTTGTTATAGAAGAAGAAAAAGGAAACAGGAAAAGGCGTGATGATAGTGAGTAGGTGAGACGTTGATGGAAATGGAAGGAAGGACGCGATTGGGCTAACCGCGTGACCACAAACAGGTACCTCGGTATTGCTGCAGGCAGAAATGATGGGTTTAGAGGTACCATCTATTATCAGGCACTGCATTTGGGTACCTACCTACCTACGTACCTATTGTAGCAAGCAGATACTGCTGCTTAAATGAGTCCATGCATGCACCTTCGATGCAGTCGAGCTGCACCTATATCAATCGCATCGTGAGATTCATTCTAGGCAAGGTGATATTAGTAGGTGATAGCTGACTGATTGAATGTCTTTCTAGAAGGTATGGAAGACCTTGGCGTAGATTCAGGCTGAAAACATTAGTATGTAAGTCTTCAAACGGAGTGCTTATTTCTCAATATAGGCAGTAGTATTATCATGAAAGACGATACCACTGCTGGT